AAGACACATGCAAACAAGCCTGGGTTTAACAATATGGCAACTGCTAGACTCCACTGTATCAAGGGGTTGGGCTCAGCCTATTAATTCTGGTGAAAATAACTTAGGATACTACATCTTACTAAAAATCTATGATAACTTCATGCTCCAGGCTTCTTTCTTTTTGCACAGTGAGACAAATCTTTATTAAAGCAGTTTTGGTTGTCTCCTTCTTGTTCAAAGGGACTGTGTACATGTGCAAGGAGAGGGGTCCATCAGGACTAAGGACATTTTGAGTTTAGTGGTGTGAACCAGCTTGATAAAAACTAGTTTGGGATGAGATGGTGGAGACTGCCAAGCTACTCTTCCAATTCATGATCAGAATCTGAATTTACAAATATAACTTCTGGATATCGGTAAACAAACCACAAAGACGCTTTTTATCTTGTGAATTCTCAGAGCTGAAATTGTTATGCCTTAATTACCTGTCAGCTAAGATAATAAAAAAGCCTATCAAGGACAGGTCGTTTTGTGTATCAGTAAGTAACCTTACATCACAGACCATAATAACCATGTGGCGTTCCCCAAGGCTCCATCTTAGGGCCCCTCCTGGTTAAAATCACCTGCTCTTCCTAACTCAGCTCTTAATAAACAACTGCTTTGGATATTCTCAGCCCTTTAAAGGCCTGTAATTAGTGCTCATCAATCCCATAGAATGGCTTCAGATTGTGCCTCCTAACTACCAGTAAGCTCAGTAGGTAGTTATTACTAAATTAATCCTAACGCTAACATTAATTCTTTGATTTATCTATTAATTTGTAATATGAACGTAATTTTAAAAGTTCTTCACCGGTCCAATAAAAAAAATGTGATCTACTTGGTCATGTTAAACAAACCAAAACCAAAAATGTAAACATCACAATAAATCCTTATGATTGAAATATGTGGAACGAAACCTTTTAAAGTTAACCTTTAAAAGACAGTAACAAAAAAAAACAACATACATTCTAAGTTATGTAGATAAAAAATATAAAGTAGGTAAATTGTAAATAAAACTTATGGTTTAAGATGCGGCCAAAGCATTTGTTATCAGTGATAGGCTGCATATTATCAGCTATAAGAAACCAATAGAAGGTGGACAGGGCACACTCTGAAGCCATTCTATTTGACTGATAACCACAAATAACAGCCAACTAATGGTTAATCACATCCGAAACGGACACAAGTCACCATATCTATGCAGATGATACAGATATTACAATGTCGCAGGGATTCATGAACCCATCAAAGCACTGAGTAAATGCAAAGAGGAAATCAATGCATAGATGTGCCAATATTTTGTTCAGTTAAACTAAGAAGAAACTGAAGTGTTTGGAGCAAAAGTAGATAATCTAAGAGTTAGCACACAGTTTCAGTTAATTCAACTAGAAACCACCAATCAGGCTCTAAATCTGGGTGATTGTTGCACTCAGACCTGAATCTTTAGGGGCACATAAAGACAGTAACAAAGTGAGCCTTCTTTCACCTAAATAAGATCTCTAGGAATAAAGGACTCATGTCTCCATGGGACAAAACAAATTAATGCTTTCATCTTTGGTAGAATTATTTACTGCAACATTGTCTTTACAGGTCGGCATAAAAGGTTGATCAGTCAGCTGCAGCAATCCGGAAAACTGCTGCACACCTCCTCACTAAAACTAATAAAGTGGAGCACATCACCCCAGTTCAAGAGACCTTACACTGGTCCCCTGTATCTTAGAGAATAGACTTTAAGATACTTATTTTAGGCAATGAAGCGCTGAATGGCTTAGCATAAAATTACGTTACAGACTTGTTTGTCAGTATATAGCCCCATTTACACTATGCTCTGAAAACCAATCTGTGCCGAGTTTGGACCGAGCTTGCATCAGTTAACCATGCCGAGCTTGGTTCCTTACAACCATTTAACACACCACGCTAGCACGGTTCCTCGCCTCTAAGTTACGATCGATGGTTCTGTTGCTCTGTAGTAGCAAAACTTATGTGATTATGTTCTGTTCTGTCCAACATCGCCTGGATTTTGTCCTCCACCCAAATTGCAATAAAAGCCTCAGTCTTGGCATCATCCCAGGTCGCACCACAATCTTTTAAAGCCATTTAAGAAAATGAAGTGTTGAGAAGATTTCGATTGTAGTTTACAGTTCTTCTTCTTCTGTTTTGTGGCAATTGGCAAGCAACTTACTGATGTACATTACCGACAACTACTGGAAGCTGACTATGAGGAGATGACGTGGTCTGCTCATGTGCTCTTTGTTATCTGAGAACCCGAGCCAGAACTGAACTGCGCTGGGTCCTACTGTTGAACTAGTATGAGATTAGCACGGTTCGGTTGTGTCTAGCATGGTCCAGTTCAGTTTTGCATGCCATTTACACTTAACAATTATCTCGGTTACCGTGCTCAGACCAATCTCGTCACGGTTTCAAAAGGTAGTACAAATGGGGCTTTTCTCTACCACCCAGACCTTCAGGTCTTTCGGGTCTTGTCTACTTTGCAAATCCAGAAACAGAACCAATCATAGAGAAGCATGAATGTTTGCACTACTGAATAAAGGGCTGTTGCTTTAGACCTCTTTGTAGGATTTATTAAAAATATATTAAAGGCATAATTTCATCCTTAGCCCTTACTGCCTTGACAACCTTGTGTCTTTTTCTTCAAAGTCATCTTCCCTCTCCGTTCTGGTAGATTGCGGCTTCCATTTCTTTCGGATATGCATAGCCTGCACTGCCTGCCAGTCTGTCCGACCTCATTTATCTCGTGGCCTCTGTCTCTCACCAACCCACCCCACCACCGCCTCTTTCTCTAATAGTCTGGTTTGTTCTCACAGCTCTTCCATTATTTCATGCTTCCTCCCCTCTATTTCTCTTTTTCCCTGACCCTTCTTCTTAATTTGCCTTTTGTCATTTCCCCTAGCTCTCTTCACTCCATGGCCTTTTCTTTCATTCGGTTCCATCCCATTTCTCTGTCTTCTTTCCGACAACTCCCTGTATTTCTTGTGCTTTTGGTCTGCCTTTACTTTGAAAGATTTCATTTCTGTCCCTTCATCATCTTAGCAAGCCCTGTTTCGCAGCCAAGCCCAATAAATAACACAGGGACATCTCTCCTTTGGGATCCTATTGAGATCTCTGCTTTTATCCACCTGAGACAGACAAACCAAAATAAAATCCTCAAAATCAAGCAAACAATTATGCTATCTATAATTAACAAAATTATTTTACTTTGCCATTTGAATGATATTTTGGATACTCTTAGTGAAAAAGACAGAGGTAAAATTGATTAATCTTTTATAGCCGTAGCATTATCCTGAATTCAACATATAAAAATCTGCTCTTTTATTTAAAGGTCATAGCCTTCTTTTATAAAATAAACATCCACAGATTATCTAGAGAGCATATATATATATATTAGATCAAATGTTAAGATATTTCGATGGTCCCCAAATACTTAAATATTTACTACTGACCACGATGCCAACATGACCAGGATTCTGCACCAAAATAAATAGTAGGTTTATGTCATCTGGAACTCAGGTGTTAGCGAATTGTTGTACTGTTGCTCTGTTACAGACCTAAGAGATGTCTTCTTCTCAATGTTACATTTCTGTAAAATTCAAGAGGACCAAATAAAGAAGCACAACGAGGGTGAAGATCAGTCAAAGTTGGCGTTGACTTATGGAAGGAAACGGGCTCAGAGGCCATGTGGAGGTTACCACTTATCTCCCAGACAGGTATGTTTGATAAAGCTAAAGCCAGACATACAATGTACAATTTTTTGGGCTTTTTGGGCCGATTCTCCAGTCGTGCGAGAATTTTTCGATCGGGCTCAGTTTCAACCTCCTCGTTCATCCCGCATCGTGAAGTATACAGGGGGTAACATGGGGCGATCAGCCTCTCGCGACCACCTCCCAATCAGGAATCATAAGGTCAAGAGAAAATCAAACATGTTTGAAATTCAGTCGGCCGTCGTAAGGTGTTTGTAGGCAAATCCTGCAGTTGAAGCAGAGCTACGAGCCGATTTACCAGAACCTTGATCACTGCACATGCGCAAACAAGGGAGTTCTTCATCCTTTTCTTCCAGAATGACGAGTCCGACCAGCTCCATCTCTCAGCGCTGAGTCCAATGTGTGGTTTTTTAGGACGTACAGTGTGAGCAGGTAGATCGCATCAGAGCGTCAGGCCGCACAGCGTGAACTTTTAAACACTGCGGTTTCATCGCACAGTTTGAGCTGTAGCTGCGTGCAACGATTGAAAATATTGCATAGTGTATGCCCGGCTTCACCAACAGTCAGTCAGTGCAGCCTGTGGCTGTAGGATTCTTGGGTTTTTCTGCATGTGAGTTAGTGTTAAAGGATTCAAATGTGTTTATAAATGTCAACACTAGAGCAGCTGGTTTAATTTCAGTTAGGGAGAGCTAATCATCTTCTTCTTGTATATTATTGCGTGTACCAAGACCATCTTTAACAACTCTGACTGGTTGTTATGGTAGCAGATTGTGGGGGCATGGCCTTTTGGGACGACAGGGGTGTGGAAAGCTAATACAGCCCATCCAGAGGAGTGCTGAATAAGGATATTCTGAGAATAATCTGAGAAGAATTTTCTTGTACAAATGGCAAAAACATGCCCTGGGAGCCTCATTGTTAATATTTTTTATGTTCAAATGTAGAATATATAGGACCTTTAAAGTAAACTAACTAATTCATCAAAAAAGGAAGGAAATGCTTGAGGTAATTATCTTCCTCTTTTGCTATAGGTGCCAATAAAATATTTTATATTTTTATTTGCAACAAACGATTAGAATAAAGGTAGCCTAAAATAGGGGTTTATTTCAGAGATTCTTTTAGAAGTGACTGAACATATTATCAAATGTTTTTGCTTCCATAAAAATACCAAAAAATAAAATTAATCGACTCATATATTTAGCGTCACTTTTGGTGCATTAAAAAAAACAACATAAAATCCGATGGTAAAGTTCTTTAATTCTTACTGACCGTCATCGCTGTTGTCGTCCACCAGGATAATCTCTTTGAGCAAGTGAGCTGGCGTGTGATTGACTGCTGAGTGGACAGAGCGTAGGATCACTGACAGGGCTTCGTTGACAAAAATGAAGATAAGGGAGATCTGGGGGAGGTCTCTGGGGTAGCTGACTTTTCTACATCTGGTAAAAGAAAAACAGAGAGGCCATATTGAAGAAAAACTACACATTATGCAAATGTTCACCCTTCAGTGCTGCTTTAAAACATAAAACCTCCTCTGTCTTGACAAGGGAAGGCAAAACGTGTGCGGCTTTCTCTGCAGGCTTAATCACATGGGTTCTTTTTGCTGTATTCACTGTGTGTTTCTGCTGCTGACAGGAGGCCTATTTTCACCTCTGCTCAAACAGCTCTAATGAAGAGCAAAGAGAAAGGCTGATGCTTTAGCTCTTAGCGCTGCACATGTGGAGGCGGTAATGTCTTCCTTTACTTTCCCATGTCAACCCACTTTAATCAATAATCGGATTTCCCTTAGGAGATTAAATGTAATTCGAAGTAAATAAACAGTAAATCCATGGATTTAGTTTGAATCAAGCTTTTTGTTTTTAAATGAGGTTAAGACAAAAAAAAACATCCAATTAGAAGATATGGTTTTGTACTACTGAGCATTTGGGTTCTAATTCAAAGGAAGGAACCATCGAACATCCAACAGCCAGTGCAAATGGGGTTGAAGGAGAGGTATAGCAGCAGAGTCCTTTAAGCGGAGAAAGGTGACACTGAGAACCACATTCTGGTTCATAGAGAAGTAAAACAACAGGATCTGGATGAAGAATTTTTTATTGTTTTCTTGGAGTCAGAACCTGCAGGACTTTACAGGCTTTCTTGTCTGTAAAGTCCTGCTTTTCTTTCCTCTACCAAACTTTACATTTAGGTTAAGTGTTCAAAAATATATGAATAAAATGTACATTAAAACACTGACATAACTTTGAATACAGTTAAAAGTTATTTTAGCTATGATGAAATAGAACAGCAATCTTAAACTCTTTTAAAAATCTATTTGTACGTAAAAGCTGCACCATAAAAAAAAACTCAACCAGGGCTTGATCTGCTGCTATTAGAAAATAAATTGGTGATTGCATCAGATTGGAAAAAACACGTCTAGTGTTATTGTTAAAGGGCAAAAATCAAGCGAGTTAAAAGAGAATATTTAAAGCTCTAGTTAGACCATGGAAGGCAGTAGCTGCATCTGGAAATCCAGGGATTCTGCCAGCCACATTCATTAAAAAAGGCTTTTTAAATGAAAGGACTGATAGGATCAAGCTATTTTCATGTAGATAGAACATCTAACTGTAACCAGACCTTATTAAAAATCATGAATTATCTAGATTATAAAGAAACTGAAGATTACTGCAGTTGTGAAATCAACTTAATCGTTTTGAGTAATGTTAAAAAGAGATTTTTCTGTACTAAGAAAGTGATAATCAACAATAAATTCAGAATACAGTGATATGATGAGTTTAGCAATATTATTAATACTCTGTAATTCTATGCTGTATTTGCCTTTTGCTGTAGTGGCTTAATTAGCAGCATCTTTTCTTTTTATTCCACAGCCTTAGCACAACTCAGAGTCAACATGTATCCCATACATGTGCCCCTACTACACAGCCCAAATAATAATTACCTAGTAATAACATTTATTTTTCTCACACTGAGCTATAATATTAAATCTGTCCAATAATAATTGCCGCTGCATGCAGTCAGAGTACTAAAACGGCATACTCTAAATCAATAAGATCTATTTTCATATGAAAAAGTATTCATCTATTTATTACTGCTTCCTTCTGTCCAGGAAACAGTGACCTTACAAGGTTGACAGGATAAAAATAGCATTAAATGACCTCACAAAATGTGTTTATATTACAAATAATGAAGCACAAGAGCTAGCCAAAGTATGAATAAAAATGAGAAAAAGTCCAAGGACATATCCCCAGTATAATCGAATATTTAACCAATAAAAAATATTTGCATTTATATCTTTAACGATTTATAACATTGAGGATTTGTTTAACTGTACTGAGTGAACCAACTTTCGTTGGGTAATATTGTAGCTGATGCATAAGGGGTGATGTTGGGGACATTTTGTGAATGAACACAAATACTTTGATTTTCTGGATATTTTAAGAGGTAAGAAGTACAGGAGAATCGCAAGGATAGCACTGATAAAACACTGACAATCCCACTATAAAATATGACCTATACTGTATTGATGAATGAAACTGTTGAGGTTTGTGATTAAATATATATATATATATATATATATATATATACATATATATATATATATATATATATATATTCAAATGAATATGTATGTATATAAACGCATGACTTATTTCTAAAGAAGAAAACATATCTGCTTCACTTCTTTCGCCAGCTACTATGTGAATTAAAAGAGAGGGATATACCTTGAAGAGCAGGGATAGATGGGAAGTTCAAAGAATGTAATCTAGAGTTGAATAACCCACATAGATTTTCTTGGGGTTGTAGCATTGAAAAGTAATATAGAACTGCACAATCCTTGTTAAACAGGATTAAAGGATTTTCGGAGCAGATGAAGTGTCTGCTGAAGTTGAGATCCAATTAGTACACCACACTGTCATTAACATAAAAATTCAAATTAGTACACAATCCTCCAAGATGAAAATTAAGTATATATTAGGGGCATAATAATAGGCTTGGAACTCATCACCTTTGAACATATTAATGCCTCATTTCACACCAAGTTCTGTTGGAAAGATAATTTTTTAAACCACCCAACCAGCTGTTCTGTAATACAGACATTAATACATTTTGCAAGCACATGTTCCAGATTGTCGAAAGTGTGTAAGCATTAATTTAAAAGTCTGCAACAGTATTTTTTTACAGTCTAAAGCCTTGATAAAAGTCCACATCATTGATATGAGGGAGCTGAGTTTGAAACTGGGAAGTCAGGAAGGGTATACAGCAACAAAACTCTGCATTCAAGTTGTACTGACTTGTATCGGCAACCCCTGAATAAAGGAGCTGCCTGAGATCTTTTGCCAAAAGGCTTGCTGTTTTACTATGAACTTTTTATAGGCCAAGCTTAACAAAATACAACGTCATGATAAAATATCATACTCCTCAACTGCTCAGTAACAAGAGACTGAAAGACTTTAGCAAGAAAAGACAATACTAATATAGGCCCTATAATTGTTCAGGTCTGCTAAATCGACCCCTTTAAGGAGCAGCAGAACAGAGGCAGATTTCAAAATGGAAGGAATCTCATTTGTATCCAATGAAAGGTTAACAAGAAAAGTGAAAATTGGAGCGATAAGCTTAACTGAGTGTTTTGAAAGGTGACATTATGGGAAAAGTAGCATAGCTTTTCACAGCTCCAATTTCAACAAAGCTTCTATTCAGAGCAGGTCAAAGTAAACCATACCTAGAGACATGACAGGAAAGGAAAGCTTCCTCTCTATTGCTTTGAGCCCATCCCTTAGGGAGCCCTGAACTGCTACACTGAGTTATGCATAGGGAACAATCTAGAGTAATTTTGTTCAGGGTCCAAGAGTGACAGTCTGAGTTTCAAACCAACAATCTTTGCAGGCTCTCAAGGATGCAAACAACCTGCTTTCTAACTACTAGGTCATCATCGCAGGACCCCAGAAAGACTAGCTGTTTGCCATGGCAATAGCTAATGGGGATCGGCTGTTTCAACCATTGCATTTCCAAATTCTCCCGAGTGGTCCAGCAATTTAGACGAGTGAATAAAGTGAATGTAATTGGTTATTTATTAAGAGGGTTGGATTGTTTTTCTGGAAGGTTCGCAAGCAACCTTGGTTGTGACCGGTTTCTTCGAAGCATCTTGCTAACCATTTAGCAACTTAGCGCTAGTAGGTTCCCAATGGGAAATTACATTGGGACCAAGTAGCACTTAGAAATGACACTGTCAAGGAACGTTATGGACAGCGGAAACATGCAGGAGGAGGAGAGTTTTGTGACGGAGGTCGTTGATGAGTCTCCTCCGTCATACATTTTATATTTAGAGGAGGAAAGCGGGGATGAAGATGTTTCGAATAGGACGCCAGGGCGGCAGAGGCTTGGTTTGGTGTAGAAGGCTTACAGCTGTACATGTTTGAGCCCTTGCTTCGCAACGCTGCCAGTTCTGTTAGCTCTACCCCTGCTGAAGACATAGACATCCATACCCGTGAACACTGGGACGGAACTCAATAGGAAAGTAAATTATTCTTATTTCTTATTTCAACTGTCGCGTATATTAGCTGCGACATATGAATCAAGATGCTATGACTGAAAAAATGTATTGACAGATGACCATTGATATATGATTGGCCGAATTTAGGTGTACAAGCTGACATATAACTAACTGGCCTGCATAAGATAATGGGGGGGGGGAAACTGATTTTAAGACAGGATTTTTTTCTTAAATAGAAATGTTCTAAATTTTGGGACAAATCGTCTGATAAAGAGTACATTTATATACATGTTTAAGCCAGATTGATTTGACATTTAAATATTATTTTCCTGTGACTTTAAAAAATCACCAAATTACCTCCTCTGGAATTGCTGTTTTTTCTCATATTTAGATTCTTGTTACAAACATATGTATAAACAGTATGACAGCATACTGGAAACACATCATTAGAGCCAAAATGCATTGATCCACCTGAATCTTGACGCAATCACCAACTGCACATTAGTGTGCCTTCTTTTGATTCATCAAAAAATTATTGCCAGACATTCTGCTGTTTATCGGCACTCTGAATGTCCTTGTGGTGGCTCTCAAGGGATAATTACACTCCTTCAGTAGAGTAATGGTCTCCTCCCAGTGGGACATATCCAACTAACCACCAAAAGGAGGAATCCAGCATGTACCCTGATTAGATGACAGGGGTTCTACTTCTACTTCAACCTCCAATCAGTGTGACAAAATTCCTTAAGTTACCTCAAACATGCCTAGCCAGGCAGTGATTGAAGCCTTTTTTAGCCTCTTTGATAAAGTATCTTGGAAAGATAGATTATAAAAGGTGGTGAATATTGAAATGCAGAATGGCCAGTAAACTGTGAGATCTGCCTTCCAGCTCAGACGTTCTTCAACAAAACAAAGTGCAGCAAAGACCCAATTATAGCAAACAATATGTGTATC